AGAAGTCAAGGCCAGCCAGCCGAGGAGAGCTCCAGGCTTGTTAGAGAACCTGTCTGAAAAATTACGGTGGAGAATGACAGAGACAACAGGAGACTTCTCACGTCTCCTCCTCGGGCCTCGGTGTGCTCACGCATAGGTGAGTGCACACACAGGCACACGTACACAGAAGAAAACTAACAGGGGACACCACTTTCTGGGGCAACTCAGAATTTCGTATGTTTGGCTGGTTTAGCCTGTTGGAGCCGCACACACACATAAGGACGTTCCATCCGCAGCCCGCGGATCCCACTGTCCCCAAGCTGCATTATTTTCATGCACACACTGGGCTGGTTCTCCAGCTTGTTCATGCTGAATGATGACAAGAAAATGGTGACACCAGCTGTGGGGGGAGGGGTGGCAAGGACATGTCGGACTAGAGGGTGTCTGCTGTGCCTCTCGCTCTCCCCAAGCCGCACCCCACCCGACCCCACAACTGAGACTTTCCTTCACATCCAAAGGGGCCTTGGCAAAGGGTGCAACCCTCGAGGGTCATCGGGGCGGCTCAAAATGAACCTCTCCCCCAAATCATATGTATTTTTAACCAGCCGTTCAAAAGCGGGCAAGCCTTCAAGTCCCTATGAGGTAGCCAGAGGGCGGGACTGGTATGGCAGAATGGAGACTGCCCCTGCTGCCTGCAATGCCCGCACTAGGCTCGAGGCCAAACGTGAAGGGTGGCAAACCAGCGTGCAAAGGTGGACAGTCTGTCCTTCTGTCAAGCTGGTGTATTTGACACACAAGGAGAGCCACCACATGCTGCCACTAACATGGAAATCCCATGTAAAGAAAAACTCCCTCTGTAGGCTTCTCACACACACACGCCAGCTGGGAGCCAAGGCGGATGGATTTCACTGTAATTCTGATATACATTAATTAGGACAGGTACCAAATGAGTCATGCAGCTTCAGGTTAGGACAAACAATATTACATGCGGAGCACGTCAAAGCATCTTTGCCATCATAGACAAACAGTATCTAAACGCCCAAGGGAAGAACGGTCACGAAAGCAGGGGAAAGGCCTTCGCCAGCATTGATGTTTGCCCCCTTTCCCCAATATAGCAGAGTTCACTTCGTTATCTACTGACGAAATGCACAAAGCACAGATTTTACTGTGCCCTCTGCATGCTCCTCCCAGGGTTGGGATGGTTCAGCCAGAGCTCGCACGACATTGGCTTCACAGCCACCTGCCTACCTTGTCCTCAAGTCCCACGACACTTCTCAAGCAAGGAATGAAAAATGCCACCGCGACAGCGAAAACCTCACTGAATCCAGGTGCTGGGCAGGCCTACTAGCGAAACCATGACCCCAAAGCCAGTAATACTACAACTCTGATTCATCCACTGTTTGACGTCTGGACATTCAGCGAGCGTCTTCACCTCGTTCAAAGTGAAGCTTTCGTTTTCCCACTGATTTTTTCTCTTACCCTCCCAAACCGGCCATGTCCTGCAAATGTCCTGGTGCTGCCTGGCTCTGACTCTGACTTCTCCCTCAGCAGGCAGCATTCTCTGAGAGACTCAAGCCACAGCTGCAGAATGGTTCTTCACCATCCCCTATGCAGCCTGAACTGTGTGTGGGGCTTTTCCTGTCTCCACGAACTCTGAGTACACCTGCCACGGCCACCCCGACCACAACCCGATGACTCTGCCTGCCTCCATTCCCCACCTGCCCTCTTCACACACAGGCCCCGCCCAGCCGTGTCATCAGCAGTGTGGCATCTCCACCTCTACCCACAAGCACCTTGCTTACGTGCCCATGCTCTCGCTAGGAGTCAACTCCACGAGACAAGGGCGCTTCTTAAAGCGCCGTTCTAGAAAATTCCTGGATCTGACCGTCTCTGCTTCCCGGAGTTATAAAGTCAGAGGTGTACTTATCAGTGACTTAAGAGAGGCCCTGGCAATATCTGCAAAATACACAAAGAATTTCCATTCTAACCGTTAGTACCGCTTAGAATAAAGTACCTGATTAAATCTCTGGGCATTTTCCAAAATCTTTCTCTCTTCCTTCAGGCAGTTATAAATGATCATGGACATCTGTACGGGATCTTCCTGGAAGTTATCCTAGACATTGGTGATAAGGATAAATAAAAATAAGTTTCAGAATAACCGCAGGTGGGAACGGAATGAAATATGAGGATCACAGGGATTCTGGCAACCGTGAAAGGTTTCCAAACGTGCAGACTACAAGTACATTAAAAATCTGATAGATACGGACTCTGAAGTGGGATTCTGGCATTGCTTCCGTGTGGCACCGGTCTGCTACACGATGCCTTGCTTCTGAGCACACAGGCACGGGTGCTGTGCACAGCATCCGCACTT